GCGAAGAGAAAAAGGCAAGACCAGGATTTGTTAAACAAAACATTAAGATTATATATACGTGGCACTGGACCGCGTTAAGGGTGAGCTGCGAAGCCGAAGACGTTAGATGGTGAAAAAGAAAAACACAACGAAGTTGATTCCCCGCGGTTTGGTTGGGGATGCGCGAAGCGGCCCCAAATTTGTACAGGATACCAAGTTGAGGAGGGGGGGGGGGGGGGGGGGCACCGGGTTCAGGGACTGTGTTTACTCTCACTGCCGACTGCCCACTGCTCTGTAGAGTGAATGTCGGGACGAGGAGCGGTGCGAGCGTCGCGGTCTGGTGGGTCGCGGTCTGGTGGGTCGCGGTCTGGTGGGTCGGGCTTGGCGCGCGGGCGTGGTGACGGCAGGCGCGGTGGCAGGCGTAGAGGCGGGGGGCGCAGTGAACGAGGACACGGTCGGGGTGGGCGCGGCGGCGGGGTGCGGGTGGGCACGGGCGCAGGACGGCGCGAAGCGGCGGCGGCGGCGGCGGCGATGACACTAGAGCAGGTCGAGAACTCGGTAGGCAATCTGGAGAACGCGATGGTGTCGCTGATGCAGGACCAGCGCGACATGGCTTTGTTGTATCGGTCGTACATGGTGGCGATCGAGGAGAAGCTACAGGCACTGGAAGCTGGGCAACGGTAGCGTGGCTACAAGTCCGACGACGAGTACTCGGAGCGGGCGCCCGGACGATCGAGGTCGGCGAGGGTGGCCGAGCCCGAGCCCGACGACGAGTTGCCCCAGCGGCCGCGCGGAACGTAGACAGCGCCCGCAGCGGCGACAGCGGTGTGGCCCGGGGCCGAGGGCGCGTGCACGGCGTCCTCGACCGACGAATGCGACGAGATAGAGCGCGAAAAGGCGAGTCCACTGGGGCCGGTCTCGCGCGCCACGCGCGGCGCATGCGGCGCGTAGTTGCGCACAAACAGCGGCTTGAGGTAGCGACGATCAAAGGTGATGAAGAAGTTCTCGGAGCGCGAGAGCATGCGCTCGTGGCGAGCGCGAGCAGCAATGGGGACATTTGCAGGCGAGCCGACCAGAATACCGTCGGGCGTCGCCGCGGTGAGTGTCTCGAGCGGAACGCCGGCGCCGGTGTCGTCGGCGGCAATGTCTTCAGGCCCATCGGGCAGCGTCACAAGACCCAGCATGGAAAGAACCGGATAGGTGGCACCCCCCATGCCGAGGATGGAGGCGAGGGCGAGGACAAGGGTGACAGTCCGGACCGAAGTCGCATTCTCTGTCGGCATCTCGATGGCGAGCGCAAAAGCGATGGCACCGCGGAGGCCGGCAAACCAGAGGAACTTGAGCATGGGGGGAGAAAGGCGGCGGCGCGACGAGCGCGACTTGTTGAGGACAAAGCCAAAAGGGAAGATGTGCAGTCCACGGGTGACAAGGAGGACGAGTGCGGTGGCCACAATGAGCAGCACGTTGTAGTCTTGCGGAAAGGCGAAGAGCGCAAAGCCGAGGTAGAGAAAGACAAAGGTCTCGGCAATGTACGAGAGAAAGTGGAACGACGACTTTGTGATCTTGCGCGACGACGGGCGGAGGTTGGCGTAAGCGTAGTGGGCCATGGTCACACCGCAGAAGAGGATGGTGACAATGCCCGAGAGATCGAGGCCCTGAGCCAAAAAGTACGCGGCGTAGGCCATGGCCATGAGGAACGACTGCTCCAGATACGGATGGTCGCGGAGGCGAGTGACCTTGAGAATGTACGAAGTGAGAAGGCCAGCGCCGAGGCCGATGCAGACGGAGCCGATAAAGACGCCGAGGAAGAAGAGGATGGCGGCGACAACCGAAGCCGCAGAGAGCGACGAGTGCAGAAAGGTGAGGGTGGTGGTGTGAAGGACGATGGCGACGGCGTCGTTGAAGACCGACTCGCCAAGCACAATGGCGAAGAGATCTTCTGAGACAGGCGTCGACTCCATAATGGCGAGGGTGGAGACCGGATCGGTGGCCGAGATGAGCGAGCCAAAGATGAAGCACTCGACGTTGGACCACGAGTGCAGGCCGAGCGAGCCGAGGGCGATCATAGCGAGCGAGGTGGCGGCAAAGGCGAGGATGGTGCCGCAAAAGGCGTAGGTCAGAATCGGAGAGAGATTGGTGAAGAACCGCCGGCGCTTCATGTTGTAGCCCGAATTGAAGATGATGGGCGGGAGAGCCGCGACGTAAAAGGTGCGCGAGGAGAACGAGACAAACGAAGTCAGCTGGTCCTCGGGCGCCGCCAACCGGATGATTTTGCCGATGACAGCACCAAGGACCACTGCCACGCCAGTCTCATGCAGGACTCGGACTTGGTGATGTCGCAGAAAGTAGGCAAAGAGGATGAGAATGACAAGAATGGCAAACATGAGGAAGAGCTCCAGAAAGAAAGAGTCCAGCTCCCATACGCCGGCGCTCATGGTTAGCCTGTCCGCGGCGAAGGGGAGGGGGGGGGGGGGGAGGGAGGGGGGGAGGGGAGAGAGAACCGAGGGTGGCGTGACGTGTGGAAGGGTGGCGAGGGATGAGCGAGTGAGCAGGCAGGGGTTGGTGGCGGTGTCAGTGCACTTGCGTCGCCAAGTGGCCCGGCGTGGTGTGACTGCTTGCTGGAGACGGCGGTTTTTGCGGGTACAGAGTCCAAGCACGTAACTGAGATACGTTGCTTAGGGGATTGTGATTAGGGTATGGGGTTGTAACTATTGGCGATGGCATGTGTAAGTGGTCGTTGCTGTGGTCATACACGGTATCTGGTGTGTGCATGCTTTTCCAGGTGGGGGGGGAGACGGTGGTACGAAGATCGCCGTTCATGGACTGCGGACCCTCTAGTCTACATCATCAAACTGATTTACACACACACGCGGTCCAATGACGATCCGCACTGTGGTACATGATGCTCGTGTTGGCTGTGTCACACACACATGATCGCACGACTTAAGCAGCTAGCAAGACCATGGACACCGGCTTCGAGGGCGTACTATGAAGGCGACTGTAGTCGTCGCTAACTCGCAGCTAGCGGCCAATGCAACATTCCCATTCGACCTTCCTGATGAACGGACTGAGAGTCAAGCAGTCCCGTGTATGGATGTTCAACTGGAGAGATGATTGGCTTGCCTGCTTTGTGCTGTCTCGTGCTGTTTTGTTTGAGCATGATGTACACCAGAGTCGAGATCGGCGCACGTCGCGTTCAGGCACACTCCCCCTCCTGCCTGGCGGCGCACACATAGTGGATAGGGAGGGGGGGGGGGACAACTACCGATTGGCCAAACTCTCAGTAGTTGGCCAGCCGAAGCAGGATGTGCTTGAGCTCGCGAGCCTCATGGGCAACGTTGGATGTGGCATCGACCGGATGCTCGGGAAGGTACGAGATGACAGTCTGGATGGAGGAGCCGACGCGCTCTGCGGCCTCGAGAAAGTCGAGCATCGAGGCGAGGGTCTCGTCTTGGAAGAGGGCGCCGTGCGAGGCAAGGACGCGGATGGCGGCAAGGAAGCAGCGCTTGGCGTAGAACCAGGTGTCGGCATTGAGCTTGCGCTCGATGGGGTCGAACGACTGGATGATGCGGGAGATGCCAAAGGTGTAGTGCGAGCGGGCGACGTAGAGAGTGCCAACGACGAGATGCATGACGCACGAGTGGTAGAGCGGGCGTGAGGGATCGATCTTGAGCGCATCCTCCTCCTCGCGCTCGACGCGGCGGATGACCTCCTGGGCGACTTGGTTCTTGGAGTCGAGAACGTACGAGACGCAGAGGTTGGCGAGGACGATGGCCGGGACGTTGTCGATGAGGGCGTCGGCGTGCTTGCGGACGATGGGCTCGTAGTACTTGAGGGCGTCGACGTGCTTGCCGGGCTGCATGAAAAAGCATGGGCAAGGTTGAGCTTCCACACCTCCGAGTCGAGGGCGGTCTCGCCCATGCGGCGCATGAGCTCCTTGACCCGCGGGTCCTCCTCGACATCAAGATAGAAGAACTCGACCGACTGGAAGAGGATGGATTCGACCTTGGAAAAGTTCTCGCGGTCCCAGTAGATTTTGGCCTGGGCCATGAGGACCGGGATGTAGGCCTTGAGGGCGGCGTCGTACTCGGCAAGCGCCTCGGAGAGGGCAAAGTTGTCGAGGTTGACCGCCTGCTGAAGCTTCTTGATGAGTAGGCGGAGGTTGGCGACGTGCGAGGTGGCCAGGGCGTCGAACTTGCGGTAGGCCTCCTCGGGCGCGGTCTGCTGGATGATGGTAGCGTCAATGTACTCAAAGAGCTCGGGCGTGAGGCACTTTGCAGTCATGTCGGCGTACTCGGTCATGATGTCGGCGGCCATGTCGTAGAAGGCGAGCTTGCAGTAGAGGAGCAGAAGGTTGGCAAAGGTCTCGGGCGGGCACGGGTTGGAGAGGAGGAGGAAGCGGAACTTTTCGAACCCGGCCTGTGGATCGTGGTCCATGTTGAACAGCGCCGAGTTGTGGAGCGTGACCGGATCGAGGTCTTCCTCGCGCCGCGGCGGCATGCACCGGAGCGCCTCGCTCGCCGAGCTCTTGTCGCCCTTGACAAACAGGATGGCGGCGCGGAGGTTAAAGGCCTGAACAAGCGCCGTCTCGTGCAGCGTCCGCGAGTTGGGCACCACCCGCACGTCGAGGCCCTGCTCGATGGCGGCGATGGGGAACTCGGGGTGGTCCACCACCGCTCGGTCCACAATCTTGGTCAGCCACTCGAGCGCAGAGTCATGCTGCTGGAGACGGAAGTAGCAGAGCGCAACCGAGTACGCCACCACACCCGAGAAGCCACCGCGGTCGAGCGCGTCGGAAAACTTAGCCAGCGCCTCGGAGAACTTGCCCTCTTTGTAGTCGAGGCATCCGCGGTTGATGAGCGTCTCAACGTCGTCTTGCGGGCACTGCTCAATGACTGCGCGGGTCGACGCCACATCGTCCTCGTCGTACTTGATGCACGCCTGGAGCTTGAGCACTTCGCCGGCATAAGCCTTGTCCTCCACAGCAAGGAGCACGCGTTGGGCTTCCTCGAACCGGCCAGTCTTGTACAGGCACTGCGCGTGCGCCAGCTTGTACTCCTCCACTTCGCTGTGGAGCCGGACCAGCCGCTCGTAGAACGCGCTCGCCAGCTCGTACGCCTCCATGGAGACGTGGCAGTAGGCCGTGAGCGAGAGCGCCGCCCGCGAGTCGGGGAAGTTCTGCAGCTCAGCCGCTAGCAGACGGATTACCTCCTGATACTCTCCAGCTTGGACGAGCGAGTAGATGACTCGCGTGTACTGGCCCGGCGGGATGGCTTGGTTCGAGCCAACCCGGAAGCCTGCCGCCGTCGCCCCTGGCAGCGCCGTCGACGGGACGTTCATGACAGAGGACGTGAGGGTGCGTGGGGACGGGGGGTGTAGGTTAGGGGTGGTGGTGGTATGTGTATATGTGTATGTGTGGAGTGGTCAAGTGCTTGTGGTTGTGGTGGCGGTGGTGGTGGTGGTGGTGGTGGTGGCAGTTGCTGCACCCGTGTGTGTGGCTGGTTCGTCGGTGTGTGTGGTTGGTCAGACTGCCGCTGCCTGCGCGCCAAACTCGCCCAAATGCGGCGTTGGTCGAACGTTGTCGTTCAGCCCGCCAAAAACCCGGCTCCGCATGGCCAACCGGCTGACCCGCCAACCAACCAAGCCAACCAGCCAACCGGTCAGCCAGTCAGCCGGCCAGCAAACACGACCACCAAGGGAAGGGGCAAGGGCCAACCAGTGCGTCAACCACTTCTCTAGCTGAACTACAACAGCAGACACCCACAAGGCGCGCACTCTTGACGGGAGCAGTCTCCACCTCTCCAATCCCATGCAGGCTTCCGCGTCTGTACCAGCTGTGGCCGAGCCGGCAGCGCTCACCCACGCTCTTGCCCACGCCCACGCATCGGCACAGACTGGACTGCTGGCGACAGAGGCGATGCCGAGTACGACGAGTAGCGCAAGTGGAAACGGCGGAGGTGGTCAGAGTATGCGCTCGGAGACTGCAGTGCTGAACGGCGGGGACCGGGTAGATGCCGCAGATGACTGCACGGACGGTGGTGATGACCGAGACGAGGCAAACGGCGGACAGTGCCACAGGCAGCAGCACATGAGGGTTGCCGTCGCCACCACCTCGGTGGCCATCGCGGCCGAGGTCCGTCGGGCGCTGGCCCCACTGGGCATCACCGTTGTTCCGCTTCCACTTGCCCGCCCAACGGCCCGCATGATCGCGTCGGCGGCGGTGTACGCGCCGCGTGGTGAGCTCGCAACTGGCAACGCTTGCGGTAGCGGTGGCGGTAGCGGTGGCGGTGGTAGAAGCGGTGGCAATGGGGGAGGCGGGGTGGTGGCGGCAGCGTCGTCATCGCTGCTGTTGCGGACCGCAAGCATGCCGATACCCGGCGAGCCGGGTGCTTGGACGGCCTCGCTCGGCCACGCCGGCGACTCGGACGCGTCGTCGCTGCCCGCCCAGCTTGGGTCTCCCGTACCAAGCTCGTCACGACGGACGGCGTACCACGCGCTGTTGACCGAGCCGGCGCTGCCCGAGCTGGGTCGTGTGCTGGCGACGCCGCGCGCGCCTGCAGTCGCACTGTGGTGCCCGGATTCGACGCCACGGCTCGGTGCTCTCGTCGCCGGACTTGTCGAGGCCTACCCAGGCGTCCACGTTGTCGACTCGGGTGTAGTTGATGACGCTGCCCGGTGGCTGGCCTCGGCCTGCTACCCGGTCCCGCGTCCGCTACCAGAGCACAGGCCGTCGCTCATTCTGTACGCCGAGCCGCGGCACGGAAGCGCGCTCCGCTCGGCACTCGATGCGTACTGGCACGTGTCACGGACCGAGCTCGGCTTTAACGATGCTCACCTCTATGCTATGCCGCACATTTCACTCACTTCGTTCTTCAAGGTGCCGTACGGCATGCGCGACAGCATGCTCGCTGTCGTCGAGTGGATGCTCGCCACCTACGGGGCGCCAGCGGGACTCTCTCTCAATGGCCTCGTCCAGAACGACATGCACGTTGTGCTCTCGGTTGCCGGCGCTCCGCTCGTCACCTTTGTCGACGCCCTCATTCCGATTGTCACCACCTCGTTCCAGCGCCGCGTCGAGATCAAGCCGAAGACCGCCTCGCACATCACCCTCGCCAAGAACTACGCCGCCGTCCACTACGTCGACCTCTACGATCTTGCGCTCCGCCTCGGCCTCGGCCTTGATCCTTCGACCTCGCCGCACGCCGTCCCGCCGCTCGCCGACTTTGATCTTGTCCTTTACGAGCGTCTACCCATCTCGGAAGAAGCGGCCCATCGCCGTGAGTACCATCTCCCGTGCGAGCCGCTCCCGCTCGCCGAGCTCGCCCGCTGGCCGCTCCCCCAAGCCCAGCCATAGCTTGTCTGCAGGAAGTGACACATGTCGTGATCAGCTCTATGGATTGAATGAAAGCGGTGTGTGTCGAGTCGCTGGCGTTGGCCGTCAATGACCATTCGTCGGCTGTCGGCTGCGGCCATTGACCGTAGCATTCCTCTCCGCATCAACAAAGCGGCAATGTGGAAGGTCACTCTGCATGCGCACGACTCGGAGACCAACGTCCACCAGCCACGTACGTACCAATCCATACTCCCAACCACCTCCCAGCTTGCGTCACTCCCCCACCCACCACCTCCCCCACTTTGTGCTTCTCTACGCGATCCCTACCCACCCCCCACCCCCATTTCCCGCATGGCTGTGGCGGCGCGTGATGGACGACCTTGGACACCTTTGGCGCACTCCCTTCAGCCGACCACCTTGAAAGCCGGCGCTTAGGTCCCCACGACCCCATTAGCCGACCGAGGTCGTCTCGTTTAAACAGATCGGAATAAATTGTGGATATAGGACTCACTATAAGTTCGTGCACTGAGAGAGCCGTGCGAAGTATTTGGTAGGTACGGGTATACACCTTTCCGCCGCAGGATGAGGGGAAAAAGGGAATGTGT